AGGGTAGCAGTATTGTCTGTGGTATTGAACAGCTTTACATCATCAGCGAAAAGAACGCAATTGCTCTTAATATGATCACAGAGGTCATTTATGTAGAGTATGAAGAGAGTTGGTCCTAGAACACTGCCTTGGGGGACACCACTATTGACAGGTACAGAATTTGATAGGACGCTCCCAATTTTGACCATTTGTTGTCTGTTTGACAGGAATGCTTCTATCCAGTTATTCAGTTGTCCAGAGATACCATAGGATTTTATTTTTAGGAGTAGTTTGTCGTGTACCACTGAATCAAAGGCTTTACAGAAGTCTATGTAGATTGCGTCTATTGCTTTGCCCTGGTCGAGTTGTGTCATCCATATGTTTTTGCAGTGTAAGAGTTGCAGATTACAGGATAGTTTTTTTCTGAAACCAAATTGTTTATTGGAGAGTAGGTTGTTTGTCTCTAAGTGGAGGATTGGTTAATAATTGATTCCATGACTTTACAGGTGACGCAGCATAAGGAGATTGGTCTGTAATTTTCAACTAGGCTTGGGTCTCCCTTTTTGAAGATGGGGATGACTGTGGCTTGTGACCATAGGTTAGGCAAGGAGCTGGTCCTGAAAGATTTTTCAAAGATTATGCTTAGAGGTTTGGCTATGGCAGTGGATAGCTTTTTTAAGAAGTAGGCACATATTCCATCAGGTCCAATAGATAGAGATGGTTTTAGATTGCGTAGTGCTTTTTCAACATTGTCTTCTGTAAAATCGATATGTATTAGATCATTGTTGTTATCTGTGGTACGGCTAGGAAATACAGGGCATGATCCATTGCTGTTTACAAATACTGAGCTGAAGAATGTGTTAAAGATGTTGGCTTTAGTGGTGTCGTTGTTGCAGTCTTTACCATCAGGTCCTTTCTACAATTGATCTTGTTGGGCAACAAGAGAAGGGAAGCTTTGTGTTAATGTTCCATTTTGGACTTATTCTGCTACCTGCCTTCAAACATGGGGATGGGAATGACTCTGATGATGATGGCATGATGAAATGTGGGTTTCAATCACAGAAGGAGGAGGGAAATGCTTAGTTATTACAGAAAAGATATATGAAGTTTTGGGAAATTAAAAAGCAGCAGAAATAATCTCAAACTAACTGCCTTTATTATATAAGGTAAAATGATGAACTTTGATATGCTTTCAAGACTATGCTATAATACTCTAACCACATTAAAATATATTCTAAGACCTGTTACCAACCTCAAAGGACTGACACTCCCATTATTTTTACAATTAAGTTTTATTATATTTTCTCAAGCACTGGGGAAATCAGAAGATCCAGGCAGTTCAAATGAGTATAAAAACTTACTGCAAGCTTAAGGTCTCTATAAAAATCTGACCAACCAGCTGTTAAGGGAAATCAGCAGGAGATACGGGGGGCAGTCTAGGTGGGCTGGACTTAGCTCTTTTGCAAGCATACAGGGACTCATGATTTATGATGCATTTGACTCCACCTTCTGTCTCAGACTGGTTACCTCCTAAGCTGTGCGGATCACTTTTAAACCATTTGGAGAAGGGTGGTTTTTTATTTATTTTGAGATGAGGGGAGAGTTGTCCCAATATAGATAATTCAGTCTCTCATTTTTGTCAAATTCAAGTGAGGGAGTAGATGTTCTCTGTCAATATTAATTGTTGAAGAAGAGCAAGATAACTGACACTTCATCTAGGTAAGGGGGAGATCAGTGGTGGGATTCAAAACTTTTTACTACTGGTTCTGTGGGTGTGGCTTGGTGGGCGCAGCAGGGGAAGGATACTGTAAAATCTCCAGTCAGAGGTGGTATTTGCTGGTTCTTCAAACTACTCAAGATTTCCGCTATGAGTTCTGCAGAACTGGTCAAAACTTGCTGAATACCACCTCTGGTGGAGATACTGTTGGTAGGTGCCTTGTCTATTCAGCAGACTGAGAAGACAAGGCACCTTAGAAATTACTTCACTGGATTAATTCATGAGATTATTTGTAAATGTTCTTTAAAGAACCCTCATATTGAGCAAAGAAATGACAGGAGGAGAAGAAATGAGTACAGAACAACTATTTGTGGGAATCCCTTTCCTTTAGAATCTATTGCTCTTGAAATTCATAGATTCATCACACTTCTGTCAGAAATAACTTCACAAGCACTTACATTTCTTCAAGGGCATTTGGACTTTAGAAGTCTAGCATAGATCATTTTTACCCATTAAAGTTACTTTTGGTCTTCTGTTAATTATGTTATATTAATATGTTTATTGTTTCCTTAATGCAAACTTTTTGGAGTTTGGGGGTAATTTGAAGGCTTGCTTTTACATTTAGTCATGAATTATTTGTAGTGATGTTACCTCTAAAAATAGCCCAGAAATCAGCTGATCAAAGGTAAGCCAGAGGGGCATTGACAGGGAATATATAGTTGTTCATATTATGACAGTCCCTTCTGATTTCACTTCTAATTCATTTCTGGGTCCAATTTGAAATGCAGCATTAACTTTTAAATTCCTAAATAGTCTGGAGATCCAATGACTATTAGCTCTATTATCCAAAACATTTTGTCAGCAAAGATAGGAAAGGTTGTTGGAAATGAGAACTATTTTATAAGAACTTGCAGTTCCTTAAAAACTTCATAGGTTGGCTACCAATGCTAGTACCATCATACTTCACTGCCATGTATAACATCCATTATATCTTAACATTAAAGTGAATGTAAACTTTTCAAGTTAAGTGATAGATATGGTTGTAAAGAAGCAAATAGTAAAGGAAGTGTACAACCAAATCTTCAATATGGACTAAAGCCTGAAACATGTCATCATATTAAGTTGTTTAGATAGAATGAGCTATGCTATTGATAGAGATGATATCTTGCAGATTAAAAAGGGCAATGACTGGATTTTAATTTACTAATGTGGGTGTGAGTAATAAGATAATAAAATATTCAATTTCTGTAGAAAGTGAAAAGGAAATCATTGTTTATTGGTTCACTTTGTAAATTGAAATCAATGAAATTTCTCCAAGAAAGGCATAAAATCAATTGTTAAATAGCATATAACTTGTGATCTTTAGAGTAAACTGTAGTTTATTTGACATGAATCCATGAGACTTCCATATACCAAGTTGCCTTTCTTTTCAAGGCAACTCCAGATACTTTTTTGCTGAACCATTTCTAATGCATTGTAGAATGATCTGTTTTTCATGTCCACAATTGCCTGCATTTGCTCTTATGCAAATAATCCAATCAAGCAAATGGAAAACAAGAAGCCATAATCAGGAGGGCTTGACAAACAGTAACCTTAGAGTTTTAGGGGAGAGACCAGGATTTAGATTTATGTTTCTACCTGCATGTGTTGAAGCAATTGATCCATTATGAAGCACTTGAATAGGTCAATTTCCAACAAGCTGTATAAATTGGATCAGATGTGGCAAGTAATTGATGTTGGTTTGATTTAAATGTGTGGTTCATGTAGTTCATTGCTGGTAGAAATCAACCTAGGCTATTGAAACTTGTTAACATCTCTGTCTCCTATTTTTGTAGTTTATTTATCATGTTGTATTGGGGGGTGGAATCAGTTGATTTCTTTGGTATCTAAAGATAAATATCTCATTTTGGTTTTGCTTTTATTTAAAATGAATAGTTGAAGTGACAGTAAGCTGTTGTTGTTTTTGTTATTGTTATTAATTTTGTGATGCATTATGAATAGAAACAAGAGTCAGACACTACTAAGAAGAAACTACTCTCATCTCCAATTTTAAAAGCTGTCATCACCTCTAAAACATATTGGAAAAAATAGCAATTGATGACTTGGCAGGGGAGATGTTAAATGTAGAACAGAAGAGGCTGGTCTGCCATTCCCACCCTGAACATCCTTGGGGTGGGGGAATGAAAAAAAAAAGCTCTGACCCTCCAAATCAGTGGTGGGATTCAAAATTTTGTACTGTGGGTGTGGCTTGGTGGGCGTGTCAAGGGAAGGATAATGTAAAATCTCCAGTCAGAGGTGGCATTTGCTGGTTCTCCGAACTACTCAAAATTTCCACTACCGGTTCTCCAGAACTGGTCAGAACCTACTGAATACCACCTCTGCTCCAAATGTCCCTATATCACCAAATGATACCCTGAACTCTTTAAGCTGTGGTGCACAACCCTTCAAAAATTATAAATTAATAAATTTACTTTTCTTAAGTATCTTCAAACAATGCTGGGGAAAATCCCTGTCTGAAAGTCTTGGTGTGCCTTCTCTTCCATGATGTCAACTACATTACCAAGACTGCAATTGAGTAGGGACTAATTGATTGAAGCTGACATGAGCAAAGGACCAATCAAGAACCAATACCACCAAAGCAACCAATCAGAATCAGTCACAAAGAGCCAGTGAGAAGCCACCCCTTACCAAACTGCACCAATCAGAAACCAGTTTGTCTAAAGACTAATTAGCAGCAGAACACCTGGCTACAAAGATAGAAGCCCTGATTCTACTCAGTTACCAGTTGACTACAATGTCTCTGAAGTTGCCAGCCAAATTGCCAGGAAATCTGTTGTCCAGATGATGGTGACTAAAACATGAAGCCCAATATTGCCTAAAATACAGACTTTAGCTACATATTCTTCTTATTATTAATTTTATGATTAAATTTTCTATATTATATTTTTCACTATGATTCAGGAGCTATTTTTTATAAGATTGGTAATTAATTGACATTTACAGTGCCCTAATTTTTCAAAAAAAATGTACAGAGATGTGACAGATAAATATTTGCTAATGCTTTATTAAATCCAATTAATACTCATGTCCACTGTCCCCCTTTTTGTAGATTTGAAAGTTTTTACCCCATACCAGTTTTGTATCTCTGCTTGCACAATGGTTGGCTGCAAAAACAGTACACAAGTCACAGTGCTTACAACGGAGTTCCCACCAGTTCACGTGGATGTGCCAGATCTGATCATTTTGGATTCTAGAACACTAGAAGCACAGTTAAGTAAAATTCTCTCTTTTTCCTTAGTAGTGTTGGAGTGGGACAATCTTGGCAAATGTAATAACTCTCCTCTTGAGTTCTTATACTGGGCACTACAGTTAACTATGTCTAATTCTGGGTTCCATTGTTCAAATGATCAGTGTCAAATTGGAACAGGTTCAAAAGAGATGCCAAGATGATGAAGAGTCTGGAAACCAAGCCCAATAAGAAAGGGTTAAAGAATGTAAGCATGGGTCCTTTTTCTACCTGTGACACATATAGTATCAATTTATGCAAGAATCCTAGTGAATTAAATCACAGATAAGGTCTGCTACATACATTTACTATGATTAAATGCACAGAAGTGATTAGTAGTAGTATAGTGGCTCTGTAAATCTTTGATTACCATTTGCCAAGTTAATTTCCATTAGTCTTTATGCAATCAGTGTAACCTACATATGGCCACCACCCTCAGTACAAATAGTAATAGAGGAAGAAGACTTTGTGATATGGTCAGGATATAATTTTCACTCTAAACACAATGTTAAAATATTTTGGACCTCTGCTATAAATTTGATATTAAAATGTTTTCTAAGTTGCTTTGTTTGTTCTTCAATAATTGCCCCAAATTGCTTGATGACCACGTTAGCTTTCACTCTCTTAAGTAAACATTATATATTTCCCCACTGCCCTCTTTAATTGTTGTATAATGATATGTTGCTTCTTTTTGCAGGTGGGATATTCCAAAGGAAGTAAATGGAACGATATATAGCTGTATCCTGTACATTGCCAAGAAAGAGAAAACATCTATAGTTTGGGATGCAATTTATAACTCTACAGATCTTTTTCAGAACTATACTGTACAAGACCTTTCCCCTGGTACTGAATACTTCATCAAGTTAGCAGTAAGTTGAGGAAAGTAATAAATGTGACAACTGAGCAAATGATAGCTTCTGTATGTTGTTATCTATATTTTCTTTAATCTGTTGTGATGGAAGCCAAACTGGCTAAGTTTTCATATAGCACATTAAAGGAAAATAATAAATTGAATGTTTGTTTCAAAATAGGTGTGGGGAAAATCAAGTCTTCTATGACCCAAAACAAATTGGATCACAGAGACAGAAAATATTCACTGCATAAGAATCACAGCGGGAACAAAAATCTGAAAAGAAATTGGCCCCATTTTATTTCTTCCGTTAGTGAATTGTGTATTCCAGCCTGGTTCTTAGTAAACAAAATGTAGATTACTACATTAGTAAACAAAATGTAGATTTGAATCCTGTTTTTCATTCAAGACCTCAAGGTGGTGTATATAGCATTTCCTTTCTGATTTCAAAGCAGCAACACTGTGAGATAGTTGGACTGAAAGAGAATGACTGGCCCAAAGTTACCCAAAATGTTTTGTGATTGAGGATGGGATAAAATCTGGTGCTCCCTTTTCTTGTCCAACATCTTTAACCATTATGTCATTCTGGTTCTTTTTTCCCAATAAAAATAATGTAAAATGTTTTGAACTCATTTAGGGGGTTGCATTCATGTTATAAAAGAAATATTCAAGATGTCACCAATTTTTTTATATGCAAATATCATAGAGCTCTTATCCTAAAAGTTTAGCTGTTTCACAGCTGATCAAGCACTACTGCAACTCCTACAGACAAATTGCAATTTGCAAGTCTCATAATAGAAGCCTCGTTTACATCTGTTCTACTTTCTTGTCTTCAGAAATGATCTTTCTTTCTATTTCATCATTCATAATCAATTTTCAGTTTACTCTTATTAAGGCCACAAGAAACCAAAGCTCCTTGGAAATGCGTTATGTTCTAAAATTCCTAGGTCCAAGAACTCTGGATGTTTATTTTTCAAGGTCCTGCAGCCTGTTTGGTGCTGCTATTACAACTTTCTTGTAGAAAGAAAAGGAAAAGATTCATAAGATCAATTTTCATGTAGTTCTGGAGAAAGAATAGAATAGAATAGAATTCTTTATTGGCCAAGTATGGTTGGACACACAAGGAATTTGTCTTGGAATGGGTTGATGGAAGAATAGGGTTATGGCACCTGTAATCTTTGTGTATCTTCAGCCAGGTCAGGGTTGATGAGAATTGTAGCTCAATGATTAGAGGATCATACTGTAGGTTCTCAGCTTCAAGATAGAAAATTCCCAGAAAGATTTGGGAGAGAAAAATTTGTGATATTTATACATATACTCAGAAATATTGTCCTTAAAGTGATAATTGTTCCTTATATCAAGGAAGATGATAACTCTCTCTCTTCTCCCCTCTCCTGCTCTGTAGCAACTTACAATAGTGAAACTAGAAGACAAAATTTATTTATTGCAAACTACAAACACTTAAAAATGTCTTTTAAATGTCATTGCTATTATTTTGTGCAGTCATTTCCTTTTGCTTTTTGATTAAAGAACAGTTTAAGTTCCATGATACAACTGAAAATATCTTGAATATAAACATGAGATTGCCCCTGTTTGTTTTAAACACTCTCATCATTTTATAGTAATACCTATATAAGGACATTTGCTTTCATAAATGCCATAGAAAATATTCTGTTCTTGATTATGAATACATTTACATTTATGTGTAGACACTCTGTATGCATTCATTTTGCTCAACATGCTCTTGAATGCTCTAAATATTGTACCAGATTATGCCACAAGAAAATAATCTACCTTCCAATAACAATAAGACTTTGATTCAAAGTCTGAGTAAAGACCTTCAAATTAATTACGACTTGAAATCCACATTGAAATCTGGCCTTTATCTATTTTAGCATAGTAACTGTAACAGTTAACAGAATCCTTTGTTAATTTTCTAGCTACTTAATTCCACTTTTACATACCACCCATTCCCATCCTTGAGTTTGAACAGTTTACAAATATTCATGAGAATAAAAATTGTTACTTCTTTTTAGGTTCCTGACCAACCTAAGTTAGGAACAAGGGAAGAATTTTAGTGCAATAATCATGGGATTGTGGTTCTCTTACCTCAGCATTTTTAAAAGAAACCTCCCCCCCCCCCCAATAACACTGATTTTTATAACAATGCAATGTTGAGGCAGCAAATTAATTTCATAACACAGAGAGATTTTTTGTTTGTTTGCTAAGAAGCACTTAGATGAACTGATCTGATCTCAGAAGTTAAGACAGGATCAGCCCTGATTGAATTAAGAGGATCCAACTGCCTTGGATGGGGGGTCACCCAAGAATTCCATGACTAGAGTAGAGAATTCAAAAAACAAGTTTCAGAAGTAGTCAATGGCAAACTGTTTCTTCCTACAGACCTAGTGGGGTGCAGGAGCCAGCAATTGAATTTAAACTTTCATATTTAATCTCCCTTGAGATCCAGACAGCTCCCACCCTGATGGTGTTCAGGATAGCATTTAAAACCTAATTATTCTCCTTGAAGTAGGCAGGATAGAGAGCCCTCCCCACTTGTTAGAAGTGATTGAGAGCCAACCCTTCACTTTAGAGATCAGAATACACTTGGAGTTTGGGCAGTGACTGTTCTGATTCCTATTACACCACTGCATTTGGATAGGTCTCATCTTCTGGGATGTTCTGAGAGTGATCTAATTAATGTCCTAAAACTGTTATCGTATACCTAGAAAATAATGTATCTCCTTAAATGCCAGTAGGAATATACATTGAGAGAATCACTATATGGTCTCGTGCTTGAACAGGGGATTGAATTAGAAGAACTCCAAGATCCCTTCTAACTCTGTTACTGTATTAAATTCAAATATATGGCAGTGTCTTTTTGAACCATTGCCAAGACTTCTAGTTGTTCACAAGAACTGTTTCAGAAGAAAAGAAATGCAATTCAGGGCAAGAGTACAAATCAGTATGCCACTCCCTTAAATTTGCTAGCATAACTTTTTAAAAAATGGCTACACTCTGGAAGTGTTTGACTACATCTCCCAAAATCGAAGCTATCATCAATACATCCAGAAACACCAAGTTATGGGGACAAATTAAGCAGTGGGCAAATAATGAAACGTAGATAATCACTTCATCATCTGTTCTAAATGCAGCTGTTTTATTCTTGATATATACATACTTGTGATAATAGCAATAGCATTTAGACATATATACCGCTTCACAGTGCTTTATAGTCCTCTTTAAGCAGTTTCCAGAGTCAGCCTGTTGCTTCTAACAATCTGGGTCCTCATTTTACCCACCTTGGAAGGTTGGAAGGGTGAGTCAACCTTGAGTCAGTGAGGATCGAACCCCTGGCAGGCAGCCTGCAATGCTGCAATCTAACCACTGTGCCATCATGGCTCTTCAGACTGCAGACTAATAGCATTAGGCTGACCATGTCACTATATGTGTGTGGAACATGAGTATGTATATGTGTCATCTTTTTGGTATAAACGTGGCTTGCTTACAGTTGCTGGAGCATCAAGTTCCTTAAGTCTTCTCTAACATCTTTGTTTATGGAATTTTGATAATTATAATTTCTTATATATGCAACACTGTAATATAAGCATTATGCTACAATCTGGCTTTTATTGCCATGCTTTAGCAATGCATTGCATCTTTTCCTACCTTTGTTCCCCAGATTTTTTTCAAAAGCCTTCTCAGTTCTTAGACCAAGAGAGGCCTCCTTTTACACACTGTCTTGTCCTCTGCTTGTCCTTCATAGTGGAATTCCAGTCTGGGCCCACAAAGATTGAAGGTTTAACAGTTGCACTGTTCAGTAGCTGTCTGTTGTCTTGCTATATTGATTTCTTAGGTGAAGACATCCTCTCCCCATTCCTTAGCACTTAAGTCTGCATATAAGCATATTCCCCTAAAAAGCAATATAAGATGCAAGAGACCCTTAGGCCCTTTTATCTCTGGGAGTGTGACCAAGAATGTGAGAATCAGTGAAAAAGACTGTTTACTGCTGAGGTTAGTTGGGCAAAGTTTTGAACAAACATACATTTCTATGACCAAAAAATAATAACCTGAAGGAAATTATCTCCTCCTGTTTTCAGATATAGAAACTTTGTGTTTATCATCACCTAAATGTACAGTATACAATTGTTAAAATGGTCGAGAACCTTGTAAAATGCAAATCAGTTAACTATAATTCTTTTGAATGAAGTTTTTCCTCTCACAAATCTAAAACTTTAAAACAGCTGTATTACATGTATTACTTTTCACTAGCAGTTCTTTCTTCTTAGATGCTTTGGAGCGCAGGATTTTTTAATGCAAAAAGATAAATGTTAAATGGATTGCCATTTATAAAGTGTTCAAATTTAGTGGCAAAGAGAGAGATCAAAGTCAATAGTTTGAGGGGTATGTGTGTTCCATCAACAGATTGAGTATAGCTGAAACACATCAAATTCAACTTTTGACTATGTGAAGTAAGGCTTGCCAAAAACTTGTGTGTGTAAATGCTGAAAAGCTGCTAAGACTTGCCTTGTCCCCTACTTGATTCTTCCAAGATACATTAGCAAAGGCAAATGGGGGGTTACCTTGCATGTTAAAATGGAAGGAAGCAATGCACACAGAGAGACACCAGTTAGTATCTACCTAAAAAGGAATATAAAATAATAACAATGTACCAAGATAGAGACCCTGAATCTATTTATTTAGGAGTGGGCCCCATTGAACTATTGGGACTTGCAGAATAGGCAGGTACATTTATTTAAATCATTTTTCTCCACTCTTCATCTGTAAAGGTTCCAAAAGGGGAATATCAATAAAGACAGTCTTTGTTCTTCAACCTACAATCTGAAAGACACAATTCCAACAAGAAAAGAAAAATTAGTGGATGCTGGGTAAGGGAGAATCAAATTAAGACAACATACTTTAAAGTTATTGGATTCTTGGTGTTCCCTGAGCTTGTGACAGTGTCAGCTTAGATAACACCAGGAACCCAACAATTGAAGTCAGAGCTACATATATTCTTCATTATTTTAATTTTAAGTGAATGTAAGGTAAAATACTCAAAGGAGAGAAGATGATAGAGCTGGTCTTTCAACAACGAGGACCAGTAGGATCCAAGCCCTTTATCTCTGCAGTCCAAGGAAAACATATAGAATTTTGCTTTTAGACAATTTCAGTTGTAGATGCAATAGTTTCCTCTCCAATACCAACGATCAGTTGAGATTGGCTAAGTGCTGCCACCTAGTGAGCTGAGTCAAGAAACATAAGTTTCAGTATCTCTCTGTTTCACCTACTCCAAAGAAACCCAATAAAACAACATCCATCCTCATGGAGGGGAGGGGAAAAAAGACATCTAGAAATGCTCTACCTATTTCAGCTCTACCTATTTCATAAACAAATTTTAGTACGCCCTTCCAGTGTAATATGAAACACAAGAGTGTTAGAAAATGTGAAACAAGGAAAGACTTGTAGACAGTACTAGATATTTCAGTTTTGCCTGTTTGCATCTAAGAAACTGATCCTGTTCTACAGGAGTCTATGGAGATTTTCAGTTATCCAGGTCCTAGATGCTCCCAAGGTGCTTTTTCAGGAAACAACTGGACTTTCTTGTTTTTTCTTTGAAGACGTTTCGCTTCTCATCCAAGAAGCTTCTTCAGCTCTGTCTGGATGGTGGGGAATGGAAGGATTTATATTTGATCCTGTTCTACAGGACACTTTTTCATGCCAATGCCCTTTTCTTTTTGTTCTGATTCCTGAATGGAGGTTGACAGCCTTGTTAGCAGCAGGGATCTCTTCATAACAGCCTTCTTCTCTGGAGGACCCTGATCTTGGAAAAGACTCTTGAAATGAACTCTTGTAATTCCTCTTTTAATTCCTCACAAACAAACAAAGGACTGCATAAAGAAATAAATTGTGTTGCTTTGAGAACTAAACATATGAAGACCGCTCTTATGGCATCAGGCAGAAACCAGGAGACTGTGAGTTCTAGTCCTGCCTTAGGCATAATAGCCAGCTGGGTAACCTTGGGCCAGTCACTCTCTCTCAGCCCAACCTACCTCATAAGGTTGTTGGGGGAAAACTAGGAGGAAGAAGAAGCATTAAGTATGTTCATGCCTTGAGTTATTTATAAAAATAAATGCAGGATTAAAAAACACAACCTTTAAAAATGACTAGATTTCTTTACATTTCCTTTTCTGAATCGTATACACTGGGGATATATTTCATGTCAGGTTTTAATATTGGTCTCTCTTTCTTTTTCCAAAGGTCTGCACTACAGGGGGCTGTACAATGAGTGAAATCGTTTCAGTAAAAACAATGAACACTGGCCCAGAAGGGGTTCCAGCTCCTGAAGTCCAGTCATATTCCTCTGACTCTTTTAACATTTCATGGACTAAGCCAGAGTACATGAATGGTGAGTGAACTGTTTTAGCCTCAAGTTAAAAAGATGATTAGTAAAGGTAAATTAATATTCTAAATGGCAGCTTCTATGTGGTGCTTAATTTTTAATGATCATTTTAGCACATAAAATACGGCGATGGTATCGTTGTCTACAGCTCGGAGATTGAAGTTTTCAGTCCTGTTTTGCTGTTTCAGTGGCTCAAAAGTGCTCCCTTTTGATGGTTCTCATGAATTGCATTCTCTTTTTTAATGAATGCTTTATGGAACAATTGAACTGAAGGTTACTTTCTGAAATCTCGTTTAAGCGTGTTGATTTTCTTTATGGCATCTTCTTAATTTTGATTTCTAAATATATCCAGCCATTGGTTTCATATCTGTACTTTAAAAGTGCTTGTGAGGAGGTAAATAACAGGCAAGGAATTATGGTGTTTTGACTCTATATACGTATACATATGCATATATACACATAAACATACATAAACATATGTGTAAAATTTCTATATTGTCTTTTCTTATTGTATCAGAGTGCATCTGGTGTTGTCAATTAGATTGTCAGAGACAGCCAAGAGCCACTGGACTGGATTATAGAATAGTACTAGAATTCAGATAAACTTCCTCTGAGCCATGTTTATTTTCTTTCCTTTAATGCAGAAGAGTCTAAGCAGTCTTGCTAGGAAAATGCATGCTATAAAATGATCATTTGCCAGGTTGAAGAGAGCTGGTTTATATGATCTAATCTGGTAGATTCTAGAAGGAGAAGAACTTCCTCAATTGAAATGAAATAACTAATTGTAGGTTACCACTCTAGTGGTTACCACTAGAGTGGTAATCTTTTCCTGTTCAGCCTACATTATTTGTGCCATAACAAGAATGTAGCATAGTGGTTTATATTTTTCCTGATACAAAATAAATCTGCACTAGCTAAATGTCTATGGATCAAGCATAAGAACAAAATCAGAGGAAAAAATGGCAGCCCTATTTGTATTATATATGCATGTTTCTACTTAAAAAAATAACTGGATGGTTTTTAAAAATATCTGATTGAATGTCTACTTTCCCAGCAATCAGCTGAATTCATAAGGCTTATAACAAAAAATGATACTAAGAAATTGCTCCAGTTGAGTATAAAATACCTTTAATAATGTATTTGGTAGTTTCAGAGAACTATAAATATCTGCTGTAATCTGCAAGTTAATTTAAGTTTGAAGGTAGTCTGCCTTTTGCTTTGAAATGACATAGTGTCACTGATTATTTCAGAATAAATAGTAAGCAATTAGAAATTGTCACAAGACAAGTTTATTTGTCAGATGTTCGTTGAACTGAGCACATCACCATGCGTTATTGCTTATTTTGGAATATTTTTTTCCCTATGGAAACAGTCTATTTGACATCATATGTTCAAGACAAATATGCAAGTAGCAAAATTAAAAAATGGATGATGGGATTATCAATGACTACAGTTCTTTATGGTGGTATTGTATTTCAAGAACCATAGGAAGCACATTCTAAATAGGAACTATCAGCATTCTCATTTTATCAGTGTTTTGCTTTATTGCACTTCGCAGATTTTGTGGATTTTTACAAGCTTCTCCATCAGTAAACTATTACAACTTGCTGAAGGCTCAGATGATGATTAGCATTTTTAGCAATGAAGTATTTTAAATTAAAGTATGTACATTGATTTTTGTAGATGCAATGCTACTGCACACTTAATAGACTATGGTATAGTGTGAACATAACTTTGGCAAATTATGTACATTAGGAAACAAAAAAAATCATGTAACTCATTTTATTGCAATGATTGCTTTATTGTGGTGGTCTGGAACCAAATCTGTAATTCCAAATCTGTAATTTTCATGTACAGGCATTTTTCATATGCCTGTACATGAAAAGGGTAAACATACCTTTTTAGTAAAAGGAAACATACATCCTCCTACATTGATTTGGGGTATTTCCAAGGCAGGTGCTTGGCAAGCATACCTCATATAACAGTTGACATGTAACATCCAGATTAATCTTCACTAGTTTGGAATTGGTGTTATTTTATTCTCTTTATCTACAGAGTTGGACAATTTAAACAAAGATCAAAGGCAGAACTGGACTCTTACTCCTACCCTTATACATCTAATTATAAGAGTTCTGATAACTTTTTACAAAAGAATACTGAAAATATGTCATAATCTGTAATGTGTCATTTATGAAGTATTTCATGGTAGGATAACAATGGAAGAAATTGAGAATTTTAATTAAAATCTGGATTTTACATTGCAAATTATTACAGTGCAGATCTAAATATAACATTGATCTTAAATTGCAAGGAACAAGAGCAACCATTGTAGCAGGTGAAAAAGAAAGCTTGTAAGAACTAACACAGGTGAGGCAATAGTTTTCAGATTACACAGAATGATTATATGCATTTCAAGCAGATATCCTGCTTCTTTCTCAAGGCTGGGAAGACAATAGTGATGGCTAGATTAGGCAAGGCCATAAACAAAGAGCTTGAGACCAAATTGGGGTACTTATAGACATAAGTCCATAAATATCTCTGTTACAATGAACAGGCAAGAAAAATATGTACAGTTTTGAGTCTTGGATCTGCTTTCTAGATAGCTTGAGCTTCTTTTTGTACAATGAAGCATTTTACATAGTGAAGACATGTCTCTGCTCATTGGGATACATCTTGAGTCTAATAATATAACCTAGTATGTGTTTTTGTAGTGATCAGAAATGGAAATCTTTATGTTCAGATCCCAGTTTGTTGACATAAGCTAATACCTTCAATTACAGTTAATTTTACAGAAATATATTATGTAGCTGAAGCTCTTTCATAGTAGATTGCCACTAGGTTGTTCATTTCTGTTAAATTATACAGTATCTTTTGATGAACCCCAGCTAAGCTATTTTTCAATGATTTGACATAATTTTTCATAGAATAAATAAAGATTAAAGTTTCTTGTCATAGTCTTTATGTTAACTAGATATTTTATGGCAATATGCAGATTTTGGAGAGAGTGGTAAGTTTGATTGTATCTCCCTCCTGGAATTGTTTGGTTTGCAGCATTTTATACAGTTATCTCTAGCACTTAAAATGGATGGAAGAAGCTTTTGGGCAGGGCCTTTCTGAGATAAATTCCATCACCTCACAGCTACAATACCTTGTTGAATCAAATATACGGTGTGAATTGTTTTGGCAGAGCCTTTACATAGCTTCTTTCAATACTTGCACAACCACACTGTAGAGGAGACCCATAGCTGGTTCACAGAGATCTAAAGCACATTGTCAAAATATCTGATGCTTTCTGTTTGATTGCTACTTAAATAAATTATTTTATTTACCATTTTCTACCATTACCACTTTTTGTCTGTTTCTATAATAGCTTTGTGTATGCAGATGTATGTGCATGTATCTACATACCCTATCTGTGTGAAAAATAGATTGTAAATATGAGCCAGCAGTGTGCAGCAGCAGGCAAAAAAGCCAATGCAATCCTAGGCTGCATTAACAGAGGGACAATCAAAATCACATGAAGTATTAGTACCACTTTTTAAAGCCCTAGTAAGATCACATTTACAATACTGCATCCAGTTTTGGTCATCATGTTCTAAAAAAGATGGAAAGATTGCAGAGAAAAGAGAAAGAGTGTGACTTCAGCAACAGAGTGGTCAATCTCTGGAATACTCTACCTGACTCTGTGGTTTCTTCCTCAAACCCCAAAAACTTTAATCTTAGACTGTCTACTATTGACCTCACCCCTTTCCTAAGAGGTCTGTAGGGGGCGTGCATAAGCGCACCAACGTACCTACCATCCCTGTCCTATTGTTTCTTTTTATTTTTCTTATATGTATCCATTTAATGTATTCATAACTATGTTTATACTTATACCTGTTATCTTATAATCACTCGACAAAATAAAAATAATAAATAAATAAATAAATAAATAAATAAATAAATAAATAAATAAATAAATAAATAAATAAATAAATAAATAAAAGCAGCAAAGATGATTATGGGGCTGGAGGCTAAAACATGAAGAAAGGTTTCGGGAATTGGGTATGTCTAGTCTAGTGAAAAGAAGAACTGGGGTACCATGAGAGTGGTGCTCCAATATCTCAGGGGTTGCCACAAAGAAGAAGAAGCAATGGATAGAAACTAATCAAGGAGAGAAGCAACCTAGAACTAAAGAGAAATTTTCTGACAGTGGAACAGCTTGTCTTTAAAAGTGGTTGGTTGGTTATCTATCTATCTATCTATCTATCTATCTATCTATCTATCTATCTAT